ACAAAAGGCCTGTTGGCTTCCGTATAATGCAAACATGCTCATTTACTAAGAGCAGAAGTAGGCTTTGGTGCTCTAGGTTCCACTGAATTGCTTACTGCAGATTCCTGAGCATGCTTAATAGAGGTGACAAAGAAGAAAGCACCTGCATATGGGCAGAGTTTGAAAACACCAGGAAAGAGAAAGGCTATCACTAGCAAAATCATTATACCTGCCTTTTCTCCCTCAGCACTCATGCGGGGGTGGGGGTGTGGGGAGGTGAGTTGGAGAGTGGCTCATGACAGGAGCCACACTTCAACACCTCCTCCTCATGAATGAGGTGGGTACACCATGAAGTGCACTTTGGTCAAAGAAGCCTGGCCACAGACAGCAATGCTTATTTTTCTTTGCTGCAGGTCACACGTTTTGTCCCACCATTTCATGCTACTAACTCAGCCACCTAAAAAGAGATGAAACTTCATCATTCAAATAACTATATTCATAACATCAAGGCCCAGTTCCAATTCAAATAAACACATTCCAAGTAGCTGTTACCCAATTAGAAGCAGCTCATCTTGGATGAGTCTTCAAGAAACACCCACTTGCTGTCTTTTATCATCTACATTCTAAATTTCAGAAGTGTACATTTAAAGGGCTGGAAGAACGTCAATAATTATGCTGTTGAGAAGAAAGAAAATTCACCACTGCCTTGGAAATCCAAGACAAGGTCTCTATACGTTGGAACCAACTCAACGGCATTTAACAACAATAACAAGCAATTTTAAAAATCACCCATGTCCTTGAGTAGTTTTTGACTCATAGTAACCCTACATGGGGTTTCTGAGACTGTAAGTCTTTCAGGAACAGACAATAAATGCTCAATAAATATTTATAGAATTGAACTAAACTGAATTCTGATAGAGAATGAGATGTGACTATAAAATATCTTGTTCACTACTAAACTGACTTCGTTCCCATTTGCCATTTGCAAATGTTCTATCAAAGGAGATTGATAGGAGGTCAAACCAGGGTTTCAAACCAGTTCCTTCTTGTTCTTTCCCCTGCTGAGAATTTGCCTTGCTAAGCCAGATATAAAAACAAAAATCCTCACCACTGGACCAATAAACAACATTCTTATCCATGGAGAAAAGACTGAAGTTGTCAAGGACTTCATTCTTCTTGGATCAACTATCAACACTAATGGAAGCAGCAGTCAAGAAATCAAACGGCATATTGCATTAGGCAAATCTGTTGCACAAGACCTTTTTAAAGTGTTGAAGAACAAAGACGTCAGCTTGAAGATTAAAGTGTGCCTGATCTAACCCATGGTATTTTCAATAACCTCATATGCATGAGAAGCTGGACAGTAAATAAGGAAGACTGTAGAAGAATTGATGCTTTTGAGTTATGGTGTTGGAGGAGAATATTGAAAATGCCATGGGCTGCCAAAAGAACAAGAGTGCAGCCAGAATGCTCCTTGGAGGCCAGTATGGCCAAGCTTCATCTCTCATACTTCGGACATATTGTCAGGAGGGACCAGTTGCTGGAGAAGGATATCATGTTTGGTAAGGTGGAGGGTCAGAGAAAAAGAGGAAGACCCCTAACAAGATGGATTGGCTAGGTGGCAGCATCGATGGACTATAGTGATGAGGTTGGATCAGGCAGTGTTTCGTTTTGCTGTGCATAAGGCCGCTCAATGGCACCTAACAACAACAACCCCAGATATGTGGAGTCCTGGTGTGGCTGTGTAGGATAACCACCAGACCACAAGGTCAGGTTGAACCATAAGGTCAGTGGTTCAAGGTCAGCAGCCACTTGTAGGAAACCCTATATAGGGTCACTATGAGTCAGGATTGATTCACTGGAATTTAACAACCCAGATACACTGAATCATAATCTACATTTTAACAAGATCTCCAGGATTCCATGTATCTGGTATGAAACAGAAAATTCTTAGCAGAGGGCAGAAATGGAATGAACTGTTTCAGTCTCCTGGTTCAAATATATTAAGTTATTTCAGTGTACTTGGATGCAATTAGCCTGGGACACAACCTGAATTCATTTATTTACTTATTGTCCATCCTTTCTTGAAATTGCTATTGTTTTTACATACCATCAAGTTGGTTCCAACCCATAGCAGCAGAACAAAACATTGCATGGTCCTGACTATTCCTCACAATCATTACTATGCTTGAGCCTATTGCTGCTGACACTGTGTCAATCCATCTTGTTGGGGGTCTTCTTCTTTTTTACTGACCTCCACTGTACCAAGCATGATGTCCTTCTCCAGGGAGTGGTCCCTTCTCATAATATGTACAACATTGTTGTTGTTGTTGTTAAGTGCCGTCAAGTCGGATCCGACCCATAACGACCCTATACAGGGTTTCCAAGGAGAGACTGGTGAGCTTGAACCGCCAACCTTGCAGTTCAAACGGCTTTGTAGTCTGGCACGAATGAGAGATAAAATCTCACCACCTTGACTTCTAAGGAGGATTCTGGTTGTACGTCTTCCAACACACTTATTTTTGGTCATCTTCATGGTATCTTTAATATTCTTCTTCAACACCATAACCCAAATGTATCAACTCTCCTATGGCAGTTCTTTTTTATTGTTCAATTTTTGCATGCATATGAGGCTATTCAAAATACCATGGCTTGGATGGCGAATCAGGAAGAAGTGCAGCAAGGACCTTCATCTGTAATAATACAGAATACGGAACTGAGCAGGTACAAGGAACAATCCCAGAACTCTAAACTACACATAAAGGATTATTTGAATATTTGAAAGCTTATTGCCAGTGGAATTTATAGCAGAAGCAAGAAATCTGCTGCTTTCTGCTCTGCTTCAGTGGATCCCAGAGTGGCCATCTTGAGTGAGACAGAGCAGGGGAAGGATCAGAGCCACCACGGACAACTGATGCCTGACCAATCCTCAGAGATAAAGATGTGGACTTTTTTTTTTTTGGTCTCTGTTCATTGGTCTCTCACTATATGTCCACCTCCATTCTGGTGACTAGAGGGGGTGCTTGAGAGATTGGACACTCCCATCCACTTGTGTAGGGTTCTAATATGTATGCACACAGATATGCTCAGATTTTAAAGGGAAAGGTTTCACTTAAAACCAAACAACCTTGCAAAACGGCCACAGCCAGCCCTGAACTATACTAATCACTACGAAAAATACTTGAATGTGGGTTGTGGAGCAGAAGAGAGACTAAAAAGGAAACGGGTAAAAAAATTAAATCCTGAGTTATGTCATAATGACAAATAGTGGCATCTTGGAATTTCTCAGGCAGCCTTAAAGGTAAGAAGCCAATAGAGGGACATTAAAGTCATACTCATATTTTGTTAGAGAATTGTTTTATACTCTTCTCTTTTTTCTGCAATTATACACTATAGAATCCAATCTGTATTTTATGCTGTTGTGGTTTTGTTTTATTGGTCTCCTTTTTACCTTTAAGGGACTCTTTCCCTCCCTACATTACCGAAGAAGAGACAGTAATTGTGGGCACATAGTCAAGCAACAATCACACCATATAAAATCCCACCACCCAGGCAAGAATCAATACAAGATGCCATACATCAGACAGGCAGCCAAGATGTGTGAGCGTTACTCTGAGATGAGTGACAAGAAGAGTGAAAATGGGAGCCCATCTCCTGATCAAATCTACCTGGAGGCAGTCAGAAAGCATAAAACAACATCAACTTACATTCATCTAATGAATAAGGTAAAAGCTAACTACTGAAGATGCTAAAGAAATAGATGATCATATAGGCACATGTCTACAAACAAAATAAAATGACAGAGACACATGAGCAGAAAATAGACTTATATATCACATTGGAAGGAGGGCAGGCTTTGGAAATTCCTGAGAAGGAATTCAGAATAATAATAATTAAATTTATTCAAACACTTTATAGAGGGTTTGAGAAAAATAAGGAAGAAGTCAGGAAAACTATACAGGAACAATCAAATAAAATAGATACAGCATTAGAAACAATTCAAAACACACAAAAAAGGTCCAAATGATTGATACTAGAATATCAGAAATGGACAATACACTGAAAGGGCAAAGGAGTAGAACTGAAGAGATGGAAGCCAGAATTAGGGAGCTGGAAAACAAATCTCTCAATACTGCTAAGATAGATGAGCAAGCAGAAAAAAAAAAGGATCTAGAAATCTGAAGATGATTCAAGATTCATGTTGGACAACAGGAAGAGGAATAACTTAAGAATTATTGGCATTCCAGAACAGGAAGAATCACACAGGTCCACAGAGGAAATAGTTTAAGAACTTCTGGAAGAAAATTTCCCGAACATCCTGAAAATGAAAAGATAAGCATTCAAGAAGCTCAATGAACCCCATAAAGGATAGACACCAAAAGAAAATCAACGAGATATATCATAATCAAGCTCTCCAAGGTCAAAGAAAAGGAGACAATCCTGAAAGCAGCTAGGGAAAAGAGAAGTGTTACATACAAAGGCAAGCAAGTCAGATTAAGCTTAGATCTCTCAGCAGAAACCATGCAGACAAGAAGGCAATGGGAAGACATATATAAAAACCTGAATGAAAAAAAACCTGCCAACTAAGAATCGTCTATACAGCAAAACTATCAATCAAATATGATGGTATAATAAAAACATTCCAGGATAAACAGAAGCTAAGAAATTTTGCCAAAGCAAACTCTGTGCTGTAAAACATCCTAAAGGGAGTTCTTTGGATTGAGAACTACAAGAACAAACAACAATCAGAGATTGACATATATGGCAGCACCATCCAGAACTCAGTCGACAAATGGAAGAGTCCAAAACAACAAAACTATAAGAACGAATCCATAGAATCTGAGAGATAAGTCCATGATTGAAACAATTACAGTGTGAAAGAAGGTGAAAACATAGGAACAGAGATCCAGGTGGTGAGGAGGTCAGGTAGATTATAGGACAACAACATTTTCATGCCTATCAATAATTACACTGAATGTAAACAGGTTAAATGCACCAGTTAAGAGACAAAGAGTGACAGAATGGAGAAGAAACCAAGACCCTTCGATATGCTGTCTGTAAGAGACATATGTCATACACAAAGACAAAAACAGACAAAAGTCAAAGGATGGGGAAAAAAATACCAAGCTAATTGCAATTAAAAAATGAACAGGAACTCTGTTAGCATAGTGGTTACGAATTGGGCTGTAAACTTCAAGGACAGCAGTTCGAAACTACCAGCTCTTCCACAAGAGAAAGATGAGGCTTTCTGATTCTGTAAAGATTTATAGCCTCAGAAACCATGTATAGGGTTGCTATGAGTCAGAACCAACTCCAAGGCACATAACAACAAAATCAATAGTTACGCTGAATGTAAACGGAATAAATGCACCAGGCAAGAGATAGAGTAGCAGAATGGATAGGAAACCAAGATCCTTCGATGTGGAACAAACAAGATAGCGGATCAGGTGGATGTGTAGTAAAGAGCTTGGCCAACAACAACACAGAATACCCGATCGAGCAGGCTCAGGGATGGTCCCAGAACTCTGAAACACATATAAAGGGATATTTAGAATGTTGGAAGGCTCACAGCTGGGGAAATTTGTGGCAGAAGCAAGAAATCTATTGCTCTCTAGTTCGGGACACTCGGCTGATCCAGGAGCCACCATCTTGGATGAGACCAAGTGGGGGAAGGATCGGAGCGGCCATAGACGCCTGGAAGAACCGCTGAGATAAAGGTGTGGAATTCTTTTATTTTGGTATCTGTTCATTGGTCCCTTGCTGTCTGTGCACCTCCATTCTGGTGACTATAGGGATGTCTGAGCTAGTGGGCACCCCAGCCCCACCCTTGGAGTGTTCTACTACACATGTGCACAGATGTCCTCGAAATTTAAAGAGTTTCCAAATGAAACCAAACGGCCACAGCCGGCCCTGAACTGTTTCCAACTAGAAATAAAGGCCTGAACAGGGATTGTGGAGCGGGACAAGCAGACAAGAGAGGAAATAGGCCGAAAATTAAGTCCTAAGTTACGTCAAAATGGCCAACAGTGGTATCTTGAAATTTCTGAGGAAGAAGAGTGAAAAGGGAAGCCCATTTCCTGATCACATCTGCCTGGAGGCATTCAGAAAGCATAAAAAATACCAAAATACATACCCATCTAAGTATTAAATCCACAGATAACCCCTGAAGATGCCCAAAAAACAGAAGCAGATGACCATATCTGCACATGTCCAGAAACAAGATAAAGTGACTGAGGCAAATGAGCTGGCAGTAGACCTACACTCCATACTGGAAGATGGGCAGGCTTTGGAAATGCTTGAGAAGGAATTCCTAAAAATGATTATAAAAGGTATCAAAACACTATACAATGCAGTTGAGAAAAATAAGGAAGAAGTCAGGAAAGTGCTACAGGAACAATCAAATAAGATAGAGCATTGGAAACAATTCAAAACCTACAGAAAGAGGTCCAAACAATTAATAATAGAATATCGGAAATGGACAATACATTGAAAGGGCAAAGGAATAGAATTGAAGAGATAGAAGTTAGAACTAGTGAGCTAGAAGATAAATCTCTCAACACTACTGAGACAGAAGAACTAACACAAAAACAGATAAAAAAAAATCAGAAGAAGGCCTAAGATTCATGTTGGATAACATGAAGAGGAATGACATAAGAATTATTGGCATTCCAGAACAGGAACAATCACACAAGTCCACAGAGGAGATAGTTGAAGAGCTTCTGGAAGAAAATTTTCCTAACATCATGAAAAGTGAAAAGATAAGCATTCAAGAAGCTCAACAAACCCCAGGATGGATAGACCCTAAAAGACAATCACCAAGACATATAATAATCAAGCTCTCCAAAATCAAAGATAAGGACAGCATCTTGAAAGCAGCTAGGGAAAAGAGAAGTATAACATACAAAGGCAAGCAAATCAGATTAAGCTCAGATTTCTCAACCGAAACCATGCAGGTAAGAAGGCAATGGGGATATATATGTATATATATATATATCAAAGATCCTTCAATACGTTGTCTGCAAGAGACACACCTTATACACAAAGACAAAAAGACACTAAAAGTCAAAGGATGGAAAAAATATATACCAAGCTAATTATAATAAAAAATTAACAGGAGTGGCAATATCAATCTCTGATAAAATAAACTTTAAGGCACAAAACAGCATAAGAGATAGAGATGGATACTATCTCATGATTAAAGGGACAATTGAACAAGATTACATAACCATAATAAATAACTATGCTCCCAATGAAAGAGCTCCAAAATATATAAAGCAAATTCTAATAGATTTGAAGAAGGAACTAGACCAATCTACAAAAAGTGGGAGATTTAATATATCACTTTCAAAAAGAAAGAAACTAGACAAAGACACAAAGGAACTAAGCAGCATAATCAGTCAACTGGACCTCATACAGAGCATTCAACCCAACAATATCATAATTCACATTCTTTTCCAGTACACATGGGACATTCTCCAGAATAGACCGTAAGCTAGGCCACAAAAAAATCCTCCATAAATTTACAAATATTAAAATATCACAAAGCATCTTTTCAGACCATAATACTATAAAATTAGAAATCAACAATAGAGGGAAGACCAAGAAATAAATTCAAATACATGGAAACTGAAAAACACATTCCTGAAAAGCGACTGGGTAGTAGAAAAACTAAAATGTGAGTACACAAAGTTTCAAGAAACAAATTAGAACGAAAACAAAACATACCACAGAGAGGGAGAAGGGCTGTGTGCTGAAGACCAGGGGGCCAGCTTGCCGGGTATACCGTTTGGTTGGTTGATGATGCATGGAGGGGATTGTAACCATGGCAATGAAACAATATATAATAGGATGAATGTAAAACTAATGTTCTCCCATGTAAACTATCACATAATTCACTATAAAAATTTAAAAAAAAAATCTTTGGGACACAGCAAAAGCAATGCTGAGAGGACAGTTTGTTGCAATAAATGCACATAAGCAAAAAGTAGAAAGAACCAAAATCAACACATTGATAAAACATTTCCAACAACTAGAAACAGACAAGCAAAGAAAACTTACAGTCAACAGAAGAAAGGAAATTAAAAAGATTAGAGAGAACGTTACACGATTTCGAAGGTTTCCTTCAAGATCACGCTGACGTCGGATCCGCGGCTGCGGCACAAAGTACTCAGTGTTCCTGAAAGTACACCTTTCCCAACAGTCTTAAAGTTTGGAGCAGAAGAATTTAAAGTTCCTGCAGCAACAAGTGCAATTATTACCAATAATGGAATAGGAATAAATCCTGCACAGACTGCTGGAAATGTTTTTCTAAAACATGGGTCAGAACTGCAAATTATTCCTAGAGATCGAGTTGGAAGTTGTTAATGGCTGCTACGTGGAACATACTTTCCTAATCAATTTGTTCTGTTTTGGGGTTTGTTTTTTTTTTGTAAAATTGAAATCAGGTTCTATAAAACACTATGAAAATGCCAATAGTTAATGCAAGTTGGTTCTTTGTTATTCAGTCTCAATGTGAAGAGGGAATGCTGTCTTCATTTGCTACCTCACAACATGAACAGGTAGTTCATTTAGGGGAATGGATTATCAAGCTCTGGTTTTATAACTGGAGTATACTTCTGATAATTATAAAAACATTTGGAAAATTAAACTTAACTGAGTCTCAATTTGTCCTTGAGTTAAAAATGTAAATGTATGTGTGTTGTTGTTTAGTGCCATTAGATCTGTTCTGACTCGGGAATACTGCATAGGGTTTCCCAGGAGCAGCTGGTGGGTTTGAACTGCCGACCTTGCAATTTGCAATCTACAGCTTATCCTACAACACCACACAAGCACTCCAAATGTGCATGTATATATGGTTCATGAATGGCAGTTTGCTTGATAGCATCTAACTTGCAGGATTCATAAATAATTTAAATCTTAATTATATAGAGTTTATGATGATAAAAATAGACACACCAATGAGAACTTAGCATCACTTGTTCAGTGCTGTTGAGTCGATTCCTACTCATAGTGACCCTGTTTCTGAAGAGACCTGGTGGGTTTAAACTACAAACTTTGTGATTTACAGTCCAGTGCTTATTCTACAGCACCACACCAGGGGTCCTAGTTTTGCTTTTGTCTTTTTTAAATGTCAAGCTACATGTGGGCATGTAATTTAAAATTTAGTAACATACTGCCAAAAAATGGATTTTTGAAATCTAAACCATTAAGTGTTAAATTGACATCCCAAACCAAAAGACTGTAAGTATGATCTTACAAAATTCAGTACTTTTAGTGCTGATAATTGACATTACATTAGAAGCATCCTTTGCTGAATTTAATATTTAATCTCTTTTAGTACTGCCATTAAAATACGAATCCTCAAGAAATCACTGTCTTTTTGAGAGAATAGTAGTTCTAAGTGGATTTCAGGAAGAAAGCATTGTTGCTAGAACATCTGAAGTTTCTGCAAAGCAAAATAGAGATGCTAATTCAATTTGATGTACTCATTAATGAACAACCGTATAAGAAATGTTGGAGATGTATGAATAAGAAGCTAGGAAGGGAAGATGGTGAAATTAAGATGAACAGATTTTTAGTAAGAACAATAGTGAGGAAAAACTGAAAGCTTTAGCAAAGTGTTCAGAAAGAGGCACTGGATAGGCAAAAGCTCAGAGGATTTGTTGTGGAGGCCTGAAAGGATCAACAAAAGACAATATTGTCAGAAGTAACAATATAGATACATTATCAATATATTGATTTCAGAATTCCTCTGTAAGAGATGCAGTGATGCCTGAAATGGAGGCAGAGATGATGATGTGAAGCAATGGAGCAGCTGGAGACTTTAGATCCAGAGAGGGAGAGCGACTGTGTGCTGAAGACCTGGGGAGTATGGGGCAAGTATGGGGAGTATGGTTGGTTGATGATGCATGGAGGGGATTGTAACCATGGCAATGAGACAATATACGATAGAATGAATGTAAAACTAATGTTCTCCCATGGTAAACTGTCACATAATTCACAATAAAACAGTTAAGAAAGAAAGAAAAAAAAAAAAAAAGAAGAATTCCTCTGTAAGAATCCCAAAAAATGATTTATATAAGGAGGGATTTTGTTTATAGAGAAAATCAGTATCTATGCAAATCTTGAAAAATGTAATGAAGGCTTACAGTGATTCAGAACATATCCTGTTTAATTACATAGATAATTATTTAAGACAGGCTCATCCATGTCTGTCTTTGCTTAGAGTTGGGAATATAGTATACTTAGAGTCTATATGCTTAATTATTCATGAATAAAGTATAAAGTAATTGTGTTCTCTATTGCAGACCCTATATTCATTGGGGCCAAATATTTGTAAGAAAATACAGTCGAATCAACATCAAAATGTTGACATTAATATTTAACCAAATTTTATTGATAAATGTGACAGATGAGCAAAAGGATTCTGAGTCTTCATTTATGGACAGCCATTCCCTGACTTTTTTGTTTGAGATATTTTTATCCATTTTACTTTTAGCACAAAAATCTTTCTGCAATGTGAATACATATATGGGGTCCTGCACCTTAAAGTTATTTAATATTTTTATTTGTTGATTCTTAAATTTTTATCATAATAAGCTATTAAATATTTTTTAAACATCTAAAAAAAAAAAGATTAGAGCAGAAATAAACGAGATAAAAAACAGAAAACAGATAGAAAGAGCTAACAGAGCAAGAAGCTGGTTCTTTGAAAGGATTACCAAAATAGACAAACCATTGGCAAACCTAACAAAAGAAAAGAGGGAGAAGATGTAAATAATACCCATAAGAAACCACATGGGTGATGTCACAGTAGAACAAATAGAAATAAAAAGGATATTAACAGAATATTATGAAGAGTTGTACTCCAAAAAAATTTGAAAACTTAGAGGAGATGGATACATTTTTAGAAAAGCACAACATACCTAAACTTACAGAGAGTGAAGTAGAAAACTTGAACAGACCTACAAAAAGGAAGAAATTGACGAGGTCATCTAAAACTTCCCAACCGAAAAAAAAGTCCAGGTCCAGATGGCTTCACTAGTGAGTTTTACCAAACATTCAGGGAAGAGTTATCACCAGTTCTACTCAAATTATTCCAGAATATAGAAAAGGATGGAAAAATTCCTAATACATTTTATGAAGAAAGCATAACCCTCATACCCAAACCAGGGAAAGATATCATTAAGAAAGAAAATCATAGACCAACATCACTCATGAATATAGATGCAAAAATTCTCAAGAAAATCCTACCCAACAGAATTTAACAACACATCAAAAAACAATACATCATGACCAAGTGGGATTCATACCAGGGATGCAAGGATGGTCCAATATTAGAAAAACAATCAATGTAATCCGCCATATAAATAGGAAAAAGGAAAAGAACCACATGATTATATGGTTTGATGCAGAAAAGGCATTTGACAAAATCCAGCATCCATTCCTGATAAAACACTCAACAATGTAGGAATGGACGGTAAATTCCTCAACATAATTGAAAGCATATATACAAAACCAAGGGCTAACATCACTCTAAATGGAGAGAAACAAAGTCTTCCCCTTGCAAACAGGAACCAGACAGGGATGCCCTTTGTCACCACTCCCATTCAATATTTTTTGGGAAGGCTTAGCCAGAATTTAAAGGTATCCAAATTGGCAAAGAGGAATTAAAACTTTCCCTATTTGATATGATCCTATACATACAAAACCTTAATGACTCAGCAAGAAACTAAAAAACCTACTGAACCTCATTGGAAGATTCAGCAACCTGGCAGGGTAAAAGATCAACATACAACAATCAGTTGGATTCTTCTATACTAACAATGACAGCATTGAAAAAAAAATTAGGAAAGCAATGCCATTTACAATAGCCACCCAAAGAATGAAATATTTAGGAATAAATTTAACCAGAGAAACAAAGGACCCATACAAAGAAAACTACAAAACACTACTACAAGAAACCAAAAGAAACTTACAAAAATGGAAGAATATACCATGCTCCTGGATAGGAAATTTTAATATTATGAAAATGTCAATATTACCCAAAGCAATCTAAACATATATTGCAATCCCAATCCAGATTCCAATGCCATTCTTTAGAGAGATGGATAAAACAATTACACACTTCATATGGAAAGGAAAGAGACCCAAAATAAACAAAGTACTGCTTAAGAAGAAGAATAAAGCGGGAAGCCTCTTATTCTGATTTCAAATTTTATTACATGGCTACAGTGGTCAAAACAGCCTGATACTGGTACAATGAAAAGTATATAGATCAATGGAACAGAATCGGGAATCCAGAAATTAACCCATCCACATACAGCCAATTGATCTTTGACAAAGGTCCAAAGTACATTGAGTGGGAAAGACATAGTCATTTCAACAGATGGTGCTGACAGAACTGGAAATCGATATGCAAAAGATTGAAAAAAGACCTTTACCTCAAGCCATAAACAAAAAACACCTCAGAATGGCTTAAAAGACCTACATATAAATTATAAAGACCATCAATGAAACAATAGGGACAAATTTAAGGGCTCTAATACAAGGCACACAGAGACTAGAAAACATTACAAAAATACAAAAACAAAAGAAGAACAAATAAATGATTTAGACATTATAAAAATTAGAAACTTATGTGCATCAGTGGATTTCACCAAAAGAATAAAAATCGAGCCCACAGGATGGGAAAAACTATTTTGCAATGACATATCACGCAAGAAACGACAACACCTCTACAAGAAAAAGAAAAATAACCCATTTTAAAAATGGGCCCAGGACATTAACAGACACTTCAACAATGAAGAGATTTGGGCAGCCAACAAACATATGAAGAAATGTTCATGATCATTAGCCATTGTTGTTGTTAAGTACTGTGGAGTCGGTTCCAACTAATAGTGACCCTGCACAGGGTTTCCAAGGCTTCAAATCTTTACGGGAGCAGGAAGCCTCATCTTTCTCCCGTGGAACAGCTGGTAGTTTCAAACTGCCGACCTTGACGTTAGCAGCCTGATTCGTAACCACTGAGAGATGCAAATTAAAACAATAACAAGATATCATCTCACACCAGCAAAAAATAGCGAAGTTCAAAAAAGCAGAGGACAATAAATGTTGGTGAGGATGTGGAGAGACTGGGACCCTCTTATATTGCTGGTGTGATGGCAAAATGGTCCATCCATTCTGGAAAACAGTGTGGTGCTTCCTAAGAAAGTTGGAAATAGAAATACCTTGTTGTTGTTGTCAGGTGCCATCGAGTCAGAACTGACTGATAGCGACCCCATGCACAGCATAACGAAACAATGTTCGATCCTGGGCCAACCTCACTACCGCTGCCACACTTGAGTCCATCAATGATGCCACCT